TACCAAAAGAAAAAATAACAAAGGCTATATGGTACACTTACACACGCAGCAGTTGAAAGAGAATGACGTTGAACATATTATATCTTCAACTATATACTAAAAAAGGTCTCAACCAGCATTTATTTCTTTTGCAGTTTTACTCATTATTAATTATGACACATGTATTGAGCCGTCATGTATAGAAAAAAGATTCTATAGTTTTAAACCTTTTTCTGAAAATCAGTTTCCTGATAGATAAATGTATGTACACAGTGGTGTATATTTTAATACTTACTCAAGTACCAGGCTTTTGGATGAATAAAACGCATCTCAGTTTTTCGCTGAAATTTTGAAAAAAAAATTCCCAGAATTAGATCGGACATCCCTGTTTTTGGAGTTTCCAAAACTATGATAGTAAAAATTTTAAATGTTGCTCAATTTACAGGTGAATTCAGCCCTTGTTTTATATTTTTTCCTGAAATGTTATGGACGAGGCTGCTGATTCAAGTATGACAAGCACAATTGCACAAACATTTTTACAGCACATTTTTATCCGGAAGAAATTCTACCCGAACATGAGTGCGCTAAAAAAAGGAGGTAGAAAAGGTGCTGCATATATGTATGTGGTACTTCGGTAATTATGATTATATTTATAGAACGGATAACACAAGAAAAAAAATGTATTTGACTGCACATAATTATTTAACTCGGGTTCAGATTCAGTATTGCATATAAGGAAATATTCCTGTCTGAAAATTCAACTGAATTTGTTTTGGCCGCCGTGATTGTAAACATGATGAGAAAATACTGTACTGTATTTCACTTCTGCAGGAAAAGGAAATTCGCACGCCTTAAATTCAAACCTCCACTGAAATCTATACAGAAGATTAAATTCGACCCGGTGCCCCAATCAACCAATCAAACAAGCCGCGGTTTTCACTTGCTAAATTTCCCAAACATGTTCAAGAAAAACGTTTTCCGCCATATTTGCGAGAACAATGGGTTGGAACTGAATCCGCGGGGCATCAGCAGAGTTTTTTTGTTGTTTGTCAAATCAAAAGAATTGCAATCCCTAGCAACTCGGGGGAGTCAACAGGAAGTAAATCAATGGAAGTCATGGCTACATATGCAGAAGGAATATAAAATTGTGTCGATTTGACGATAACATCAGTGCCCATCACTTACAGGAAAGTCAAGCAATATCCCATGAATCACCTGCACAATTTCTCACGTTTTCGGGGTCTCAACGATGCACATTCAAAGGCTGCAGGTCAATTGATACTGCGATGGTCATTTGCTCATTTCAGCATGTAGGCCATCAATCAAGATTTCTTTCATATACATTTTTCTGCCTTCATGAATTCCCTTCTGAGTAAATAAATTGGGAGGATTCACTGGTGATGGGTATAATGCTCAATGGCAGTTTTTTTTTTTTATTTGACCATTACTCCTTAATTTAATTTTATATCTGCGCAAGGAATAATTTACTGTAGTTGTCATGGAAATGCTTCAGGACTTCAGATAGTTTAAGAACCATCTTTAAATATTTTTTGGATATTTGTCAAAGAGTTGTTTCCAAAAAAAGTTCATTAACTTTCTGAATACTGTTCAATACAGGTGTTCATATCAGTGACATAAGATCTGATGTGGACCACTTAATTCAGTGCTGCATCTACAACTGAATGCCAGTAGTACAGTAAAATGTAATGTACTTTACCAAAGTATTAGCATTCATACCTTGTTTATAAAAACAAATTATTGCTTGCAAAAAATTGCTTTGCAGGTCCATTGCACATCAAGTAAGATACTGCATTACAGGAATATATTTGATCAATATCAGATTTGTTACATATTGACGCATTCTTCTGTGTCCCAATAGCAGAGTACAGTAGTGGCAAGATTTTACTGCATTACAGTTCCTTTAGATTCAAAAAGGGATAATTTTACAGTGATGTTAAAAAAGGTAAACCAAATCTTTCATATGCTGTAGAAGCAGCACATTTGTGAATACAGCAGTCAAATTTCAATAAGGGACCAAGAAAAAAATGTGACTCAGGGAGATTTTGAGTTAAGGAAACAAACATTTTTGTTGCAAGGAAATGTAGAATTGCATGAAATTGTGAACAAGTATAATCTGGGCATTTACTTGCTTCTTAATCTTAATGAGTTCACAGAATTCTGAGCTTACGAGGTAGGTGTTCATTTGCTCAATCAGTCTTTCTCTTCCTTTCAAGACACATCAATTGTTTTATTGCTTTCCTCTTCCATACATTATTTAAAAAAACATAATGATCAAAAGGTCTCAGAAAATTTCACTAACAGAGGTTTAAGAGAAAAAGAACTTCGAGTTACAGAGGTTTTTAATGCATTGTCCCTAACCCTAATAGAATTCAGACAGAAGCTTTAAAAAATTCTACTCAGGAAGGTAATTGACGTGGGAAAGTTTGACTTATCCAGGTTCAACTATAAAGACTTAAAGAGAAACCTTAAATACAGCCTTCAGAGGAATTTTACAAGCAAATAAAACAGGGCATGACATAAGCGCACCAACTAAACCTCTATTTCCTTGCCCTTTCACATTAAACATATTCCCTTCCCGAAAATTACGCAGCCAAAAAGCTTCATCAGTCACACGCGAATTAGTGTTGCGTTCACCAGCCTCACAGCTATCGTTCGTATCTCCTCCTAGGATCAACTGAAAGCAATCAATTTCTCGTATAAACTACGATATTACTAAACTATGGCGCAATTCCGGATCACAAAAAAACAAGAAGAACTCGGGCAAGCTGCGAGAACAGGCGACACATACGCAACAAGCCGACGATACTCGGCACGATAAAGCGACAATTTCACGCATCCCGGGATCAAAAAAATCGTTCTAGGGAACCGCACACAGGGATCTTTGCTTGCAAGTACCACATAAAGCAACACGGGGCGAAAGTGAAACAAAATAAATGCATACCGACAGTATCAACCTCAGGAGAGATCGTTGAGAAAATTGTCATCACTCAGTTTCATATTTTGGATCATTTCTTTCTAGAAACTAAAGCGAAAATGTTTTTTCCTTCCATCACTTCCACGCACTCGGGAACAATACAGAGTTCTCGTACAAGAAAACGACAATGAATAAAAAAAAAATCCATAAGCTTTCTCCATGGGTAAATGCAACCTTTCAAGTGTTTTTCCTTTTTGGGATTTCACGCAAACGCAACATAATAAAAAGGAAAGCAAGGGAGAAGTTAAATTCAAAATCGAGAGGACGCAGTACGATGACAGGAAGTCCTTGCATGCAAATCTTCAAGTTGAAGTCGACTTTTCATGAAAACGGTTTTTTTTCTAGTTCCTCCAGCAATACTTGAAAACTGTCTTTTTCAGTCGGTCTGTTCTGAATTTGCGTATAAAAACTTTGATTCTGAAACGCTTCATTAATGCTTCCCAAAATAGGAAATGAAGCGCATCACAACGAATGGCACAAATTACGAGATTCCAAAATGAAAACGATGCAAGTTGCATGAGTTGGTTCGACAGTTTTGTCAATCTATTCCTTCATCACAGATCTATCATACTTTCAAGGTTTCCTCCTGACTCTTTTTCGATTATCTTTTTCAGAATTTTGCGCATACAATTTAATGGAGAGGAGAGCAAAAAGTTCCATTGCCTTCAAATCCTGCAAGAAATCTAAAACCTTCTTCGGACGGAAGCCTGGATAAAACCGTGGTGATTTTTGAGTCAGTGATGGCGAATTTTAGAGTTGGGTTGATATTAGAAAAAGTTACCAACGGGCCGTAAAACTCAGGGAAACAATCGAAAAGGATCACCATTGAATCAAGAAAAGGCTTGCCATTTCACGGTGCAATCAAAGATTTGTGATCCAGCGCACAAGAAGAATTTAAGCAAAAAACCGTTTCCTACACAGTGCGGATTGCGAGATTTCTAAAATTGGGTTGAAAATTGGCGAGGCAGTAAAATTGATTTATTAAGCAAAGCCCTTCTCGAAAACACCTCGTGAAATATTTCAAGATGATGTAGCAACAAAACTTAGGATCCAACCCTCGCACAAACGCGGCTTCAAAAATGTTTCAAAAGAAAGCTCTCCAGATTAGTTGCTTTCAACCACCATCCTACAATTTTGCAGAATCTCTTCTCCGCGCAGTTTAGAAAATGCTTCGAAGATCGACATTTGCATTTCAAATGCTTGAAAAAATGCAGAGCAAAAAACCAACAAAACAAAATGCAGACAAAAGAAGACCGTTGCTTTCGCAGATGAGATGAGAGACTAGCTTTTAGATCCTGAGAGGAGCGAGTTGCGGATCATAAAACGCGTAAATCTCAGACAATTCTCCGAGCAACGTTTCGTAACGGTAAGCAATGCGGATGTCCGGGACATTCGTGCGGGAAATATCGTTCCCGGCGACACCTTCCCGGACGTAATTCGGACCCAGCCAATGTTGCTTGACCCGATGCGAAAAGCCAGACATGAGGACCGAGTTCCGGGCCAACTCGCACATGTCGCACGAGCTCAGCTTCCACACCTGGGCTGCAATCGAGTACTCTTCCATTAGCGGCTCTTTGGTGAAGTGGAACATGAGCGGGTCGTCGGTGGACAGGGACACGGGGATCCCTCGGGCCAGGTATTCGGGCAACGGGTTGCGATTGTAGTTGAGGAAAAGAGAGTTGTTCGACAGGGGCGACATGGCGACTGGGATTTGGCACAGGTAAAACAGATACTGCAGCACAGGCACCTTGAACGAAACGACAGAACAGATCACAGGTGACATGACAAACTCGAGTTCATCGCGCAGAAAATTTTCACGAGAAGGTGGAAGGGGCGAGAGGAGGTTTTAGTGTAAAAATGTACCCAATTTGCCTAAATTCAACGAGCCCTTTTTTTCTAAAAATATTTGAGAAAAAATTAGGTGCTCGTCATAGTTGGGTACAAATTTCCAAGCGAAATTTTTGAAAATGGGAATTCCCCCCACCCTCCATTTTAATTTTTATCGGACTTCAATACTGTATTATTATTTGTAGGAAACACAATTACCAGAAATTGACTTCGACTTTCACGTGGACATTAATTTAAATTTTTACCCGACAAAGCTTCTAAGATAGGACTTTTGCTAACTGAAAACTAATGCGCGCGTCTCAAATAGGTATGACATTTTTCCAAATTCTTTGCTAAAGATCCAAGATGCGTCTAAAACCATAAAAGCATTGAAACATGCCTCACGAAGTGACATGTACGTACGAAATCACACTTCTGATCTTCAAGCAACGCAGATACAGGTTTCGAATTATTTCATTGAGGATTACTTGATCAGCCATTCAGACAGGTAAATGCCATTTCGTCAAACCAGTAGAAATCGAATTATCCTGGTTTCAATTGGCAGCATGCAGATTTTTTAATTATCGCAAGGAAGCAATGCGTCTTCAAGGATTTGCTGCTTCGGATAACAATCATATTTTAAAAATTAGAAGTAGTGCGAATTCCATGCACGGTAATTTTCGAACCATGGCAGATTGCCGTAATGAAAAGCACCAGTTGGACCTTGATAACTCAAACCTCCGCAAGTCCAAAAACTCGCTATTTGAATGTTTTTTTCAAGTCCCTGCCTGAATTCCGTAACAAGCAACACACTGGAGGGTTTATTGGATTGATGCTTGCAAAGGGCGTGAACCAAAATCTCGGTGCATCTTAGAATTCTTGACAGTGTTTCGATTTTCAACTTATCGGACTTCTACTGTGCCTCAACAATTTGAGGTTCCAACAATTGACGAAATAAACCCACCTTCCTCAGGAGGAGACCATGAGAAATGTTCTCCGCCAGCAAATACGACGCCACCAAATGCTGTATCGGTCCTGCTTCCCCGGAATGCGGCCGGAACACAATAGTGTTCAAGCCTCGCATTCTCCGGAAATGATTCAACACCGTCATGTTAGCATAAACGTAATACGAGTAATACGCATACGGAGGATTCTCCTTGTTGTTCCAGTTCTGCGGGATCGGCATTGTTCGGGTCGGAGTCGGACGATGTTCGGGTTTACTCTCGTCATCCACTGAATCGAACCCGGTCACGTGTTGGAGAAACGCGTGGAGTTCCGGATGAGAAGTCGGGTCGGAAGTGGCTTCGAACAACGGGGCGAAAATGTTGTCCAAGACGTCTTGGAAATTATTTAAAATGTTGGCGCTTCTATAAACGTCACTGCAAAACGAGGAAGAGTGAGGTTAACGAGGTCCAACAGACGTTCAAAAGTTTTCTCAAGCTTAGAGTAATTTTCGCTTGAAAACTCGAAACTTCCTTCTGGGATAACGTACAAAAAATGGTCCAACCGTTCCAAAGACTAACGCAAAAAAATCCGAGGATTTTGTAAAATCATGAGATAGCTTTAAATCACAAATCCACATTCTCGGCATAATTTCTGTTATCCTTCCAGTGTGAAACATTTTTCACACGATAAACCCAACTTGCAAAAAATTGCTTAAAATGAAAGGTTTCAGCACCATTTTTTGAGCACAGAAATCATTCGCAAAACTGAGGATAAGGCGTCTTCTCTGCTGAAATCCTAGCCGAATTTCAGCTTTCACATCGGTAACTGTTCACTCATCAGGCAAAATTGAATTCACAAGGAGAATACTGAAACTTGAAAACATCATTGATCTTAGATATTCAATAATGCAAAAAATTCAAAAAATTACATCCCTCGAAAAGTTAGACTGAATCACAGACCATCCCACAAATAAAACCTAACAAATCTTGAACGAACTAATAACCTGACCCAAGACAAACCATCCCATAAATCAAAGAAAACTTCAACCCAACTAAGAAAAAATAAAACCTACCGAATCCAAGACGCCTATTCAACGAGAAGTAAAATGAAATTACAGTATGGAATTTCAGGCGTTAATGTAGAAATATTCTTTTCAACTGAGTCTTGGACATCAGTCAAGAGAGCAAAACAAAACTATGAAAAACAATGAAAGTTGACAAGCGTGGAACTTGCCGAAGCTTCTACTGTATCATAAAAAACTTGAAACCACTCACTATAACCGGGGCAGTTGGACGAGCCAAACCACATTCTCAGAGTAAATATTATGCCCCAGGGCCCATTTTGCCAAACTGTCCCATTCGCCGCGAGATTTCCCGTAGATGGACAGTCGCAACTCGGCGTTCTGGTACTTGCTGTCCTCCAAGTCATTGATAACTTCCTTGATGATGTGAGCAAAATATTTCCCACCGACGTAGTTGTCAGTTTTCAGGAACACTTCCCTCAGTTTGCTTTCACCGATCGGATTATATTTTGCGTTGAACTTGTCAAAGCGGTGGAACATGTTCCGGTCCTGTCAAAGCATCACCAGATATTTTTAAATTAAAGTACAGTGCTGCATATTGAAGAAATATTATCCAACAGACAAAAATTGGCTACCATCTAAAAACTGTACATGGCTTCAAATGATCAGACTCGACAGAAATCGGAGAGCTACTTGAAAGATCCCATCCTCGAAAACTTGAGGTGCATTCAATCAGGCAACATTTCAGAGTTTCACCGGAAATTGGCGAAAATATCTTGCAGTGCCATGAATTATTTTTCCTCAAAATGCATTCAAGCCCTTTCAAAGTATATTCGTTTCCTGGGTAAACTGGGGAACTTCAGCCCTGATTTCTAGTCTCAAAATCACAAAACCCGTGAGTATAGATAATCACAATCCAAGTTTCGGTTGTGAAAAATTCCTAGAATTTCTCTACTGAAAATAAATAAGAGTTTTCCACGTTCTCAACTGACGGTTCACTTCAGAATATCAGATGACACAAAATCCAAATGAAACTGGCATTTTCTAAAAATGCAAAGAAAAAAAAAACTGAAAATTATTGTCAGGCTGATTATGCGAATACATCCGGGAATTAGACAAAATTTCACGATCCTTCAATTGATGGAGTTAGGTTTCTCAGTAAGAAACGAGCCTGAAGGAGAAAAAATAACTACCAAGCCTTGCACGACAATCTGTTTGTCTTCAAACATCAATACCTTTTTCCGCGAACTTTTGAATTACGAATTAAAAAAAAACTCATCAATATCGACTTCAATGACATTTTGGTGAAATGAATAATCCAGATCGTTAACCCCTACGAAAATCATATTTTCTTATAAAAAGTAGCACTAGAGCAAAAATTTTCTTGTCAGTGATTTGAATGGGATGCTCGTATTCCTCAACAACAAAATGGGAGAAGATCCAAATGAATCGATTCAAATTTCTAATCAGATTAACTCACAGCATGAACGTCGAGCATATCCACTGACAAATCGTACGCAGTCACCCCCAAGGACTCGAAAACGTTCTGCAAACTCATCGGTGTTCCATCAGCAGCTTTAGTCACAGCCTCGTTGGAACAAGTCCGCATCGCCTTCTTTATGAAGCGCAGCAAATGCTTCTGGTTCATGCACGACGCCGCGTGAATGTGCGTATCCACCTTCAGAGTTCAACCAACAACTTCCAACTCAACGAACTAATCAAAATCGGACACACGATTTTCCCCCGGCATGCACAATTCTACAGAGAAATTCCAGCATGCACTAGATTTGGTTTTTCTCTCTCGTGGAAAAGATCACACAATGTAGTCAAGCCAATCACCTTTCGAATATTGTAGAAGTCTCGATGGGGAATCAGGTTTACCTTTCGAATATTGTAGAAGTCTCGATGAGGGATCGTCTTTTGTTCCGCCAGTTCATGAGGCTCATTCAGCAGAGCATGAAGGTGGTATTTGGAAGATAAATACTGCAAACGTCGGAAGCAATACGACTTTCTGCAAAGGCAAGATTTGACACGATATTTGATTTCACCATAGATTATTACAATCAACTCAAACCCATGGAGGGCGGGGGCACGTTTATCAACGAACACGGGAATATTCAACACGCACATGACATACGAGGAACACAGTCCAAAATTAATTCGGAGATCACACTTAATTTTGATCAAATATCGATGAAGATATGTCACGGAATACAATTTCACACATTAAAAACAACCAAAGCCCATGAACGCGTCTATTGTATGGTAAATTTACGTGAAGCCTACCACTTTAATGCGCTCTTCAAAAACAAACCATCGTTGATGAAATCACCTGTCCCTCAGATTCTTCCTCGAAGGTTTTCCAGCGATTTTATTCTCATCAGAGGAGGACATTCCTTCTTGACAACGATGAAAGCCAACCTTTCAGATTGTGAATGCGTTAGCGCTTAGCCTCGACCGATTTTTCCCAACCAATAAGAATTTCATGCGGCTTAAATAACTAAAAAAAAAAAAGCGACAATTTTCATGAAAATGAAATACCGTCGATAAAAACGACTGCTTCACCTCATCAAGAAGGGTTCGGAATCAGAAAAACTCACAATGGTCCATTGGCAATCATGGCCAACATCAACGCAATATCGGAGCAAAACTGGTCCCAATCCGGAAAAGCAAAATCCAACGGTTTCCCCGCATCCAGTGCCTCTTGATTCTCATAAACCAAGTACACCCCCTTCGGGGCTTGGAGCTTGAAGCCCAAATCCGCCAACTTCTCCACAGCAAACGGATCGCCTCTTTTCGGCGGCGGATGAATCGGATGGTCTATCGCACAGAAAACACGTCAATTAGGGTCTCAAAATTTCCAGGTCTCCTGAATGAAACACAACAATAAAAAAAGAAGAAGGCAGAGAGCACGAAAGAAATCACAGCACTCTCGACGACACTGAAAAGAAACGAACAAAAACTTGTACGGAAGAAAGAAAGGAAGGAAACCCAGTCGGTGGTCGGCACTCGCCAACACGCAATCGCGATAGAAACGTGGCCAAATCTAAACGGCACGCCATTCCTGATGGTCATATTAAAGCATGAATGAGAGAAAAAAATATACATAGGAGGCAAGGTGCCTCTGGAAATTCTCTTTCTACGTCTCGCAATTCCCTAATTTCTCGCTGCATAATAGAAAAAAGACCATCCCCGCGTTTCTCACGCTAGGTACGCATTTTCTACGCCGCAAAAATAATAAATTCATTCGCCGCGATTCGGCGCAGCCCAAGGCTTAAAAAAGCCAACGAAACTCAAATGACTTTCTAAATTATAAACTACGAATGGATCATACACAGTACATAAAAATTGGCGTAAAAAAACATGGCCAAAAATCTATATAAAACGATTCTATGTACAAACAGAAAGGATGACGAATACTATTAGCTAGATTTTTTTTATACACAATGGAGCAGTTTATACGGCATCAAAAAAATTTTGCGGCAGATCAAAACAAGGGAAGAAAAATGTTTCCCATCATTCACATTCGGAAGCAACTGATGCAAGGATCATATTAAGCAAAGAATAATTGGTAAGATTTTTTTCTTAAATCTGCTTTCATGCGTCTGATCACGCTCAATGACTAAAACGCTACTGACATAAACTTCAACTTTTTCGAACTTCAACGCCTGACGTCTCAAAATTAAAAAAGTGCAGCTTAGAATTCGGTACGATTATTTTTATCTGCATTTTTGCGAAGTCGCTTTGGATTAATTAGGTAACGCTGGTTTTGATTACTTTTACTAAGGACTTGCCCCTGTAAGTCCTTGACATAATATCGGGCGTTGAAGAGAAAATAATCAGAGATGTTACGGAGAAAATGCGCTCAAATAATTCATGCTCGCAGGAGAACATACGCAGTAAGTACGAGAAAATTTACAGCAACCGAATCCATGCCTTAAATATTCTGCGCATTCCTCAAGACTCCAAAAAAATCACTCGAGTTCTAAATTCTGAGAATTCAGAAAACAGGAAGACTAAAGCCAGAGTTCTTCAAAATGTAAGTAAATCATTCTGCGGAAAATGTCGACTGGTATCCCTTCAGAATGCAGCATGCAGTGATTTTTTTCTTTTTTTTTACAAAATCGTGTAATGACGAAAGAATTCCTCAGGAAGTTCGAAGAACTCGTGATGTGCGCGTTAGAACTCGTTCGAGTGTCGGTGAATGAATGACCCTACAAACAGACATCTCGTAAAATGACACGGTGAAGTTGATTTTGTTGAAAGGGCAACTCAGATATACCGTCGTTCGGGTTTCCTTTCACGGCTAATAATAATAATCATCACCGAAGAGGGGGGAAACACCCGCGGGGGTTAAGTGCAACCAAAAAAATCATAGGACATCTTCAATCCATTGAAATCAGGCAAATCCAGGTTTTGAGCTTGCAGGCATCTGAGGGGAGGAGGCAACGTAAAAATAAATTATCACACAAACGCACTCAACGGGGTTTGTTGTGACTGGTTTTGTGTTAAACATACGACGGTGATCGGTGTTCGTTTCTTGTCACAAGGGCGTTCAGAAAATTCAACAGATCAAAGCTTGACAAGTTTTCGAGACGCAGAATAGATTTTTACTAAAAGCTTTCTTTCTTTCGCAAATTTCCTTGACAGAAAAAGCATCGCTTAACGTAGTTCCACAGCTTTAGGGGATCCTTCAGAAAATGCGAACGGACTGAGTGATGCAAATGCGCCTTTAAAAAAAATGGTCAATTCCGTAATAAATGTCCAGAGAACTGATCAAAACTGTCTTGAATAAAGTCATAAGCGCGTTACACGTGATTTTTTTACATCGTTAGCTAGGATCTACAGAAATGGTAATAAAAGCACACAGTCTGTATCAGAAAACGCTAGAACTAAAATGAGAGTATGTGCATCACACACGCACGCTTAAAAAAAAACTAAAAAAAATTGAAATTACCCTAAACTATCGCTTTTCTCACGATCCCACACCAAAAAATTCTTACAATAACTTTCAAATAATTCCAATACATCCTGGCGGCACGAGATACAATTAATACAATGTCTTTCTCCACCTTTCCCGTCATCTGCTTTCTTTCAAGATAAAATAACGTGGACAGGAAATTTAGATTTTGTAAGCGAACACGCTTTGTTGATTAAAATACTAAATAACTAAAAAAAAACCATTTAATGTGAACACAACTTTGTTCGCGGTTCCAAATCCATAATCAAAATTAAAAGTTACGACTCTGACGAAGCCGAACAGTTTTACAATATCCGATATATCTGCACTTCAACGGGTAACTTTTCAATTTAATATGCAAATTTTCAAGGGCACACCGAACAGTAAAAACGTCTTAGCAGTTACAACAGCTGATGCCGCAAATAAAGAGGATCCTTAAGTTGCGTTGAATAAGCAGCATAGGGATGGATTCCACGTGAATTCAAATTTTGAAAACCGAAATTTAGACAAGTGACAAAACTAAAATGTTTACCCTATCGCGTCCATCAGCAATTTCTCTTCATCTCCAAGGAGTATCTGAAAAATATTTTCGGATACTGAAATACTGTATTAATGACTGCCTTCAACGAGAGTTTGGACGTTAATTGCAAGATTTAAGAATATGATCTCATACTTTATTCGTTTCCAAGACTGAAACTGTTCAAGGTAAATTGGAATTTGAAAAAAAATGAACAGAAAGTCACGAATCTTGCAAAAACTCCGCAAGGGCAACTGCCATCAAATTTTTTTTCTGAACGCCCCACGTGTAAAACATACGACGAGGACTGAAAGGGTCAACAACTCAAGAAGGAACATCAGGTAACGGGGTAGACCACGACCGTTGGCAAAATTCACCTCGACCTCGGAACAGTCCCAGCGGCAGCTCAAACCCTTCTCCATATTTCAACGCTGACCTGTCTCTTTCTTCAAAAAATAAAACCGACCCGCATGGACCCGGAAATAAAAAGAACCGGCTTCAACAACAACCACAACAGCACAATCTGTTTCCTTCAGATTCACTCTTTCAGCTTTTTCATCACATACACACGTATAATCTCATCCCCGCTTTTCAATTTAGTTCGGTTACGCTTTCAACAAGTTAAAAAGACACATTTTTTGAATTAACAGGAAAATGAAGATGATAAATAAAACAATGATAGTAATTCAAGAAGAAAAACATGTACAAGTATTAGAGCGGAACCAATTCTTAAAATACGACTGCAGAATCATGGGAAGTGATCCAAGCAACCGTTTAGCAAATTATAATATACACAAGCAAAACTGCCGAGCTTTTGAAATACATTCAATCATGAAGTTTAATTTAAAAATGCATAACAACGCACTACATCAAATAGTAAATGAGCAAAACGAGTAAAATTTTTTATTGTCATTCCTGCATTTTCAAAAATTGTTTATCTTCCGAGCTGTTAAGACGAGTGTCCGGACAGTTGCGCAAGTCACAAACCAATAAGTCGAAAAAAACAGCTACACTGAAAGAATTTTTAGCCCAAAATACAGTATTTAGCGTAAAAAAAAACGGTCTTACGTACGTTATAAATTTTCGCTATTCGATTGCTGTATTTGAGATTCCTTGTCCCGAAGAGCCGTTCAAGTAATGAAACTAACCCTAATTCAACCAATCAGTACCGTTTTACGACACGGATTCATCGAAAACTGGATTGGATCAGGAATGACATTGATTAATGCTTTACATCGCACAGTAAACGATTCGTCGGATAATACTGTACCGTATTTACTCGTACCACGCACCCCAATTTTTAATCATAAAATTTTGATGAAATCCTATCCCAGATTAAGACGCACGTCCCATTTTTGATGAATAAGAAACTAAAATATTTCAAAAATGAGAGACACCACAATTCAAATTCGAACATGAATTTTACCTGACTTTAATTATGTTCAATTGTTTCGAATATTTAAAATTTCCTGTCAAAAATTTCACAATACAGTACTGTACATTCAAGCATGACATGCTCCTAAATTAAAAAAAAAAAGTATCTTCAAATTTATCCCCACCTAGGGCGCGCACCCCATTGTTCCCTCTCAATTTCAAGAAGAAAAAAAAACTGCGCGTGGTACTTGAAGTAAATACGGTATAACGGACTAGATAATAAGTGAAAGTTCTTGATGAGATTATATCAACTAAAATATATCCTCTGTCTGGGTACGAGCCCAACTGTCCATTCACCGTTCAACAAGAAACGATAAAAAAATTTTGAGCGGCGGCTAGCCAATTAAAATTAATAAATACACCCCCTTTCTTTTTTTTCCTGCTCACCTTCGATGCTCTTCTTTTCTTCTGACGGCAAGCCCAAGGCAGGACTGCAGAAGCCGCCGCCGCCGACAGCGGAATCCGCGCCGCTCCCACCGTCAGTCGGCGCCACGAACCAGTTGACTTTCTTGACACGCGGCGTCCCAGAGCCGCCAGACGAAGCACGAATTTGCGCAGATTCGGTATTGCCAACTTCCGGTGTACCTTCTTCCTCGTAGCCGCGGTCTTCGAGTGACTGCAGCAAGCGTAGGGTCGTGCTGCACATGGATTGTCCGCTGAGGCTCACGTATCGCTCTCGCAGACGCAGGGCTTGCACGAGGAGCACAGAGCAACGGACATGGTCCAGATCGAGTATCTACAAAGCCGACAACATAAGCACTCAAACATTAAAATAATCCTGGTGCATAAATACCATATTGACTCAAATACCACGCGCACCTTTTTTGCAGTAATTGAATCGCGGAAAAAATAGGGTGCGGGTGGTATCCAAGAATACATTTAAAAAAAGAAAAATTCCCAAAACCAGCGCCCCTCACACGCAAGTGAGTAAATCTAAGGAAAAACGAAGAGGAAATGTGTGGCAATGGGAAAGAATGGTTCGAGCAATAACAATTTTAGGCACATATCACTTGGAGGTGCAACAGGAAGTAAAAAATGTCTGATTGAGAAAACTGTCTTATTGCAAGTACAGTAAATTTTAATTTCTCCTCCATACAGTAAAAAAGAAAGACAGAAATACCGTGTTTACTCGAATCCCACGCGCACTCGAGCAAGAATTTCACCAGGGCTTTTTGGTCGCAAAAAAATTGTATCCCAGGATATGACACGCACCCCATTTTTAGTGACTCTTGAACTGCAATATATCAAAAATAAGAACACCCATATTTGAATTTAGACATGAAGCATCAATTGGGAAAAATGAATCCACACAAGAAATTTCACCATTCTTGATTTTCAGCAACAACAAAAAAATGAAAAGCGTGTCTTTCTTGAGGGTTCGTGGTATTGGAGTGAATAAGGTTTAAGAACATGATAAATTTACCGAACCATTTTCATCACTAAATGTCACGATGTTCCTGAACAATAAAAACGCGGGAATCCTTCCAAAGAAAATATCCGGAACAGGTCCGATTATCCTCACGACTTTTTATAGAACCAGTAAGAAAAATTAATCCGTTTCATGAATAAAACAAATAAGAAATTATTCACTGAGCTTCCGTAAACAAACAGGCTTACAGGATAAAACGGGAGCGAGTAATCAGATTTAAACAACACTTCCCCTGAAGGCATATCGAACATCTTAACTATTTTATTCATAAATAAAATGATTATTGGCGATACTGTACATAAAAATCTCTGCCGACAGTAAAATGGTAAAAATACAAACCATGTTGTGAATCAGATTACTGTAATGTCGACCATTAAAACAGGTTCTTCTTTGTCGACGTTTTCTTTGATTCGTCCCTGTATCAATGTAACCATCAAGAAACTATCATCCAATTTATAAAAAATACTCAGTGTAAAATCTCAGGTGAAGTGAGTCACTCTTCAGTAATTAGATTAAGTTGAGCAAGCGTTCAATTAAGTTCCTACAGGTAGGTGAATCAGTTTGGCGGACTGCTGAGTACAACGTTGGGTTAAGTTAATTTCGCTATGATTAAAAGTTCATCCAAAGCAGTGCGTAAAAAAAAATTCAACGAATTGTTAGATTCAGAAAAGAAGTTCTGGTTATTAAAACTCAAATCAGCCGAAGATCCACTCATCCGAATCGTTTTTCCCTTCATGTCAACATTCTTCTCTCTTTCCTCTGTTATCCATACAGATCGTTATTCATTCTTTCAACCTCCATCCTTTCCAATAGTGTACTTGAATTGGAAAGTATGTTTCAGAATGAATCAATGCACATTGTTGGAGATCTTCAATTTATAGATGCGAACCGTAGTCCGCATTTATAAAAACTAAATAATATTACCATCATCCAAACCTTTAAATTAACTGAAGTACGCATGATCTCAATTATTCCGAATAATTGGAATTGCTCTACTCTATCGCGAAGTACAGATGGGCTCCAAAATAGGACGATTCAACGTAGGGACACTGAAAACTCAGAAGACATCTGCCCCAACATCGGGACAGTGTCTCTTGATACGAACATTGAGCCAACATTTCTAGAAGAATGAAAACATTTTATTTTCAAATTTTTGATACCAAAAATCAAACATAAATAGCTCTATAAATTTACTCCAATTCTTAATCCAAACATGCAAATTTTGTGCTGCATTCTTTCCATCATCTGCTCAGTATAGCAAGAATTGCGTTTGTTCTTCGCTTCTTGGACACTTTCATGCAAAAAGATCAGATTCTGTGGGGATTTCTTAGGTATAATTGTATGTCATTTTCTGTATCGTTAAGTTAGGAAGAAAATTTATTCAATTTTTTGGGGACTTTTTCCTAATTATTCATAAAAAGGGAGAATCAATCAAATTTGATATCATCGAAGTCTACGGGAAAGTGTGTCATGCGGACGTTTCGACATCGGGACAAGGCCCAAGCACCGATAGTACCATGTACAGATTGCATGTCTTTACCGGCACATTATCGTCTCCAGTGATCCGGACGCGCTGGAACTTAGGATCCAAATCCAACAGCTGAGACGTGGACGTCACATACGGCATGCTTGGCTTCATGGACCTCAATGACGACGACGGCGCCGTCGTCGAATTCACGTTGATCGGGGCGTCGCGCTTCACCGGCATGCGTTGTCCGACATCCGACCTCCCATGCGACGGTCTACCTTCCTCTTCCGACGAATCCGCTCCGCTCGAACCATAATTGTTGGACCACGTTTTCTTGCCGATTGAAGACCTACGGATACTGTGTGATGTCACGCAAACGCAGAGGACCAGTTTGCAGGGCAAGAGTTCGCGGATTTCACGAAATGCGCGCTGCAACATTCACTTTATCTTGCGGACAATATAAATTGCTCATGGTACACTTCGGATTCTTGAAAAAAGTAACATCACGTATGGAAGAGTGCACGAATAAAATTTTAAAAATATTGCCAAGGTAAATCATTATACAAATTTTTCAAGAAGTTTGTGCTGCACAGCATTCCGATGGGTTTTCCCGTAATATATCATCGAAAAACGGCGGTGAATACATCTAGTAATTGGGCAGTTCAAGAAAACTTGCTTGAAACAGAGAACGAGGGATAATTTTACATAATTTCGGGAAACCATTATGCTTAATTACACATTAATATATTTAGCTCCTACACTACAGCAATACTAAGGAATAAGCTTAATGTTGAACAAAAGTGCTTTCGATTCAGAAGGGCTTTTCTTTTCTAAGGACAAATTCACTTCTAATCCGTTCAATTTCCTCTTGAACGATCAGGAGTGCATTTTCAACCTTTTGGATCCATCAATCGAAACATGGCTCTCTCAGGAATTAGTTAAGGATTACGGTACTTGAAGAGTAGGATTTTGAAGATAAAAAAAAATCGTCTCATTCGCAAGAAGTTTCTTCAGCTGCAGCCTTAGCTTTAGTAAATTCCTGTTCAAGAATTTAAATTTTGAGGAAATACTCACATTCTCCATTAAACATTATCATCGCTTTCACTCGATAATTAGCGAACACATCACTGAAAAATATTCCATTTGCGCCAAGTTGTTCGCAATATACCCTGAAGCGATTGTAATTCGTGATTATTTTTCACAAATTCGAGGGACTCCTTCTACAACGAAACTGAGGGGAGCAGAAAGACATTTTTTGTAGAGAACATCTACAATATGGGGAGAGAACCGTATAATGGGACCACAAAAAAAATGCGTTATACAGAGGACATCGTTGTCGACAAGATCGTCGTAGAGGGAGTCCATCTGCATTTGAATACTTTGAAAGATGCAAAAACGAAAAATCTATTATGAGGGTGTACAATACTTTAATCTCAGTCTACTATACTCCAGGTCGACCAAAACGGGCGAAAAGTAGAAGGGAGTTAGTGAAATGATCATTAAAAAGAAAAAAAAATCCGACTCAACTCTGTCAAACTTTATGAGTCTCCATTCTTGAATGGAAGCAAATGGAAGCCTAAACTGATGAACCAGCCCTTGTAAGAATACCCCCATACGCAGATGGAACTACTGCGATATTGGTGCCCAATTAAAATCAAAATGCCATCGCGAACGGCAGTGACATTCATTAATAGCGACACATATTTCTTACTGAAATGAAACTAGTCGGAAAATTCATCACACGAATCATTCAGGTGTAACAAAAAACCAATTACATGAATAAATTACACACATCCAGTGCACAAACCTGCCAGTATTGGTGGTATCCTGAGCAGCGACTCCTTCGCTGCTACTGCTCGATGTTGCGGAAACACGAATGGCTCCAACTCTTGGATGACCATTTGCATCAACCCTGACCTTCGTCCTGAAAAATCGGAAGAAGCAAAGATTTAAACAAAATTCCTGGGAACGAATCTTCGGAAAACGACGTGAGTGAGTGGAGTTAATTCGCATGCTTTACACCCTTCATTCTTCTGCCCCACCCATGCGCCCTTGAAATAACGTGGTTTTTTTTTCTTCTTTTGAATATCATCCCACCCCCTTTTTTTCAATGATCTGTCTTAATTCATCAATTTTTTTCAGAAAAAATCAAAGAACTCAGCGAAAATCGCGCACACGGTTTTTTTTTTTTTTTCGTCGCGACATAAACGTCAAAGACGACTCAGCTCTTGAACATGATTCAGAAAATATCCTCGCAAGAAAATGCCTTAAATCCATTCTGGAAAATTCGAAAGCTTCACCATGAGACAAATGAGATGCAACTTTTCCTTACCGAAGATCTTTTGGATCGTCAGGTTTCTGCTTTAAAGACACCGTCCTTACCATCGAAACCGGATCTTCTCGTTCCTGTTGTGGAATCGACATAGATCTACCCTCACGCATTTCCCAGAACCCCACCAAAAAAATAAATATATTCCCGGGCAACGAATCCCACACAAAGGCAGCACAAGGGTAAGAAATGGCAAAAATTAGCGATTGCAAACAAAGATTAGTCAAATGATTAGAAATTGCCGTAGGAGTAGATGTTGCTAGGATCTCACCGTGTCAAGCGACGACTTGCAAGAGTTTTTCTAGCTTCAATTTCTTGAATCGGATAGTACGGTGCTTCGTAGGGTCCACCAAATCCTTCTCCCCTGTCCACGGCTTCAGCTTCACTGAAATGCGACATCGAATCTCGTCAGAACCATGATCAAGTTGACAAGATAATTTCTGGTTAACGAAATCGATGCTTTGCAATGCAGGGAAACAGAAAATTCCCTACTGGTACGCGGAAGTTATTAAATCTAAAAAATCATTTTGTAATTTAGTCTAGCTATATTATCAAGGTGTTCACTTGGTTCATAGCAAGCCAAATGCAACCACTGAAAGACATACAATCCACAAAACAAGATCAAAACGTCAGGTACGCTCTTGACAAATGGAAAATTTCGACTGGATTCGCGAAGATAATTACGTAGACATAAAAGACAATTCAGAAAAAAATTAGATGAATAGCGCTTTAGTCCGTCTATTGCAATATCGTGAGACACGCGCCCTCGATAGATTTTATACAGCAAAAATTCTGCGGCAAAACAATCGATCATTACTTTCCCGCCAACATTAGAGCTTCCAAAAAAAATACAGTGAAGTAGTTCTAAAATCCGTTACTTTTAAATGAGTCAAAAACCATCCGTGTTCGATTAATTACGGTGAAATATTCACTAACATAACCTACAACAGATCTTTTCGAAATTAAATCGAACCAAGAAAAAACTGAGCATCTCAACGAGGATAAAACTTTAAGGCTGGAACAGTGAACATAAATGTCCGATTTAAATGCGCGATCTACAGTACATAAATTTCCGATTCAAATGCGCGATCTACAGTACATAAACTACGTAATCCATTTATTCGGGAGAAAAAGGTTTGAGAAACCATTACGAAAACGGGGCATTCTCCGAAATGAATACTGCACATTGATTCGAAGCACAAAATATTCTGAACAGCTTCGATAATGCTGTGAAGTTGACTTGAAAATGATTTGCAAAAATTACGGAGAATTCACACGTAGATGACATTGAAGTGTCAACAACTCGACAATAACATCGTCACACGCAAACAAAAAACAGAACAAAAACGCCTCGTTGAAGATCACACACTAAAATAAGGTCAATAAAATAACTAACGCACCTAAAGCGATACGCTTCTTGAAAGACATTTTTCAACGACAAAGAAGAAACCACGAGCTACGAATTTTTCGCTCATGGTACCACATTTCCCAAAACAACAACAAAAAAACGTTTTTCAATTTTGCTCCAAAACAAACAAGGACAAAATTTACTTGTTGTATTCCAAATCAGCGACGGGATTATCGTCACTAACGACCCCGTTTCCTCTTTCCCCAGACATGTTCATGGCTTCCACAGCCCTGTCCTCGATAATGGCAGCTTCAGCTTGCGCAGCAGCGTCTTCAGAATTATTCGCTCTCCTCGGCATCACAATTTCGTCAGCCAAATGCCCCAACTGCGAGTCCAACAACGAACGAGTCACTTTCGGAACTAAAGGTGCGACGGGTTCTGCGGCTGTAATATTCCCGTTTCGAGTTTCTAAAACAAAAGGACAAAAAAAAAGGAACAGAAAAACTTGTCAGTATACCATAACACAAATTTTAGCTTCATTCACAGAACGGGAATCCCAACACGTTCAGGCTGTCACTCGAATATTCCACCACCACATCTCATCACCTCACTCAGCGGGTCGACGATCTCTTTTCTTCACTCGATCGACTCGTGAACAATCAGATGCTGCCAGTAGCATTTTATTGCTTTTTCAAAATTTCAAACGAGAGGTTCTCAAGCTCAACCATGGGTGTCCCCTTCAAGGAAGATTTGTTATGACTGCCTGATCGTCGACCAGGAGAGCGTTTGAAAACACAAGGTGTAATTTGACTAGCGTACAAGGCGATAAACTGACTTTATGAGCCCCACCCCATTGAACATTACATAATCTCACTAAAGATCGCGGAGACGAAGAAAAACGTTTCCGCGGCATTTCAGTACTGAAGGCCACGTGCAAGACTTGATCAATAGGCATTGCTTGGAACCGGTTTTGAAACCATCGCGGCGATTAAAACAATTAAAAATGATGGCGATTTGAGGCCATGATAAGTACAGTACAGTACTGTATAGGTTAGCAGAAACTCTCTGAGTCATATTCTCACAAGGTTGACTTCCATCCATTCGCATGCCGTTACAGTATTTAGAAACTTACTCATGTTTACGCTATGTTCACGCTACGATATGAAGAGTGATAAAGTACATTACTGTACGCGCATTCATTTCAAACATGCCCTCGAAATCCTTGAATTTTCATTCCGAGCGTCAACAAAGTTGACACACTTTTCTTTCGATAAAACGAAATCTTGCGTTTGAAATGCTAAAAAAAAACAACGAATTTCAAGACCAGATTTTTAGAACTGAAAAAACGGGTTCAAGTTAAAAGATTAGTACATTATCAAGAAAACCAAAAGAAAATGTGAGTACAACACTGTAATATACTACGTCATCTCGTGTCGTAAAAATCAAGCTTCGAATGTGAAAAGAATAGAAAATTATCAATGTTCACGTGGCTTCACAAAACGGAGTCTTCGCTTGTTTTTTAAATGCTGATGCAATACAAAGATTACGCTTTCCCTCAACACGCGAACAATACTTCCGAAAAGGATACGAATAATCCAGGAAAAATGTACCAGCGAGGGGAATTTACGACGGGTAGTACTGAAGTCCCGTTTTTTTTTTTGTAATACAACCTCAAAGAAAAATGGTGAACGATTGTCCTTCAAGGAATGAAAGATGATTTTACGCTCTACGCTTCAGAATAATGTTCTCTTGCCCAAAGCCATTTTCAATGAGTATTCATTCTAAAAATAAATTTAAAAAAAACCCCAACACGCCAGTCCAGAAAGACTGATGAAGAGATGGTTTTCTCATTTTGGATACGTTCGTGGAGAAAAATCGAGTCATCAAAATAAAAAGAATGACGTCTTCGGTTACGAAAGAACATTCTTTACCTATTTCCTTCCCGAGGCCCGGGGGAAAACAGTGGCGCATTAATGCAACTGAACTTCGAATGCTTCGTGAAACTACTCTTCACTGTCCGAAAGATTCACTCGAGCCGATTCAAAACTGCATTCCTCTACATTTTTTACAAACACTGTACTCATATGACTATAAAATACATTGGATTAAAAACTTGATCCGTTCCTGAGCAAAGTTCGTCAAACAAATCAAATTTTGCCCTAAGAAAGCACAGGAACGATTTTAATTGGTTCCAGAACTTTGAAATTGTACTGGAAAATCAATAAAATTTTCACCTAAAATTGTTCCCGGGCCTAATATCCAAGAAATTTTATTGCAAAACTTAGAAGAGAAGCTCAAAGAAGTGTTGATGAAGACAGAAGCCTGATGAGAGGATGCCAGAGGTCAAGTGGAGTCAGCACTTTCTACACAAAAAATCTCTTCAGTAAATGTATTTGGGCCACCTCGTCAATCCTTTCACACAATTTAATCACTCTAAAATTTCTGTACACTCATTTCCGCACTAAGCCCAACTTCCTTAATTTGGAAGCAGATTTTGGAACACTCCAGGAATTAAAATAAGTCAAAATCATGCAAGAATAATTTTATGGTTCTTATTACAACCTCAATCCTGTAAAAGAGCAAAAAATATCTACTGGGAAATACATGGTGTGGGTGGGCACTTTGGGGGGCCTGCCTAAAAAATCAAAGTTTGTAAACCAAGTCATGGTTTGGTATCCACGTCAGCTAAGGCCAAAATGCTTAGGTTGTTATCCAATGGAGACCCACTGCATTGTAGAAGGAAATCACAACACCTATTTTCAGCCATCCCGTCGAACTTGATTCACGAGGAAAACTTCAAAATTTCAGCAAGTATTCTGAAAGAAAGCTTTCCGTCATCCGCATTTTTGAATCAAAATCTGCAAGCTACTACCGCATAAATAAAAATGACGCGCTACTCTCGCTTTTCGTCATTCGATTCTAATATTAGAGATGAGCGGGGATAAAATTCTGAATTTAGGCTTAAATGTGTGTTGAATTCAATTTATTTTCAATAATGTATATGGTATAGTTCGATCTGTCATATCATCGCTGTTATGGTTATTGAAAACTCCATCTTTACTAAGTTTTGAATTCAGATTTAAACGTGGTACAGTATTTGCAAACTACGAATGATCACAAGTTGAATAAAAAGGTCAGCTTCATAGACTTTTCAATTATGTATGCTTTTTAGCATATTCTACGTACTGAATATCACGATAATACCCCTTTTGAATTTCAAAAAACAAAATTGAGAAGGTCTGGGTTTCATTGTTGTACAAATATGATTTTTACCAAAGAAGGTAGCAAAAGTAGAAAAGCAGTTTGTTCAAAGTAAGAGAGGAACTAATTCCGCAATTTCTTTCGGAAAAACATCAACTCGCTACAGAAGCTCTCAGCAGTTCATGTTTCAGCAAAAATGGCAGATGACCTTTGCTTCGTTTCATCCGGAAGAAATTCAACTTTTCAAGAAATCGAGATTTTTTTTTCAATTTTAATTTAGCAGAATGCCTATGATATATTGCACACGCTTGAACGGAAAGCGTTCCATCACCGTTTCATAACTGCGGGCCGAAAAAGTAGAGAAGTAATCTTACAGACGTTACGAAGTCATAAATTAACTTGCGTTAGTCCGAAGGCCACTTGGAAGGGCCCTCGTTCAAAGTCCAAATTACATTTTCGCTCTCTCTCTCTCTCTTCACAACTGTCAACACATTTTTCTAAAAACTTCTAAAGCAGCATGTATGAAGTGTAGACACGTAAGAACAATGGAGGAGCCGATGACACGCTACAAATGTTCCATCATGTTCCATGAGATTATCTGTACAAAAGTAAAACAAATACATGTCTGGAACCCTGCCAGGAATTGCGGACAAGCCATTCCATACGTTAAAAGAAACTGTTGAATAAAAAAAACCCACCCCTTCTGATCTTAAATAAAGACTTCGATGGTTCATTTACTTATGATATCCTTCTAAAATTCCTCAACAAAGACGCGGAATTTTTGCTCACCAGCACAGATACCCAACAGTGAAGCAATCAACTCTTGAGTAATTATGCAGGAGTACGAAATTTAAATTTCACATCTTTCCTCAAACAATGAAAATGGATACGTCATTATCCGGCTTAATGACTGGTTATTACGCAGCTCTGGACTTGAGACTTCCTTTAAACATGATATTTTCATTCAAGATTTGGTGCCACGCGGAAAACATAAATCCATACGAAAACGTTGGGCGGTATCGAGAATATACGAGCATCCCTGAAATTTTAGTTTATGAAGGATCCAAAGGAAATTGGTGCGGTTTGGTAGAAAGAAGAAGAGCTATCATTTACTGCCAACAGGATCTTTGCCGATTCTTTTGCTAAAATGGGAAAAGAAAGACAATTCAGTAATAGCCACTTGCGCAAATTTACTGTTCATGAAACCATGAAAGGGAGGGCGAGAAACTGATTTTCTGAATAACATTCGATTACATGTTTCGTGCATCAGTACAGTGTTCAGGTTCAAAATTATTAAATACTGTACTGTTGGTGAGGCAACAAAAACAATCAATAAATCTCAGTATACCGTATTACATCCCACACGTTCTCTAGAATTGTCACTTGTAATGAGGCACGGGTTTTCTTTCAGGATCTGTTCCTAAAACTTAATTTTTATAAGAAAATTCCACGTGCAAATGTGCGCATTAAAAAATGACTTGATCGAAATTTTCTGCACAGAACGCTGAATCCCAATCTTGGCTCATTTCTACTGAAGAACGTTTCCACACACTGTACGTATGTACAGTACTGTACTGCACTGCACAGATTTACGTTCAGTCCAGTTGTTATTGAAACAAACGAGAAATACATCTTTCCAAAAAGACGCGACAGTAATCCTACTTCTTTACCAGCCACAATAGAAAGCAAGTACTGATCAAGACGAGTGCAGGGCTTCAATTCCGCAAAACGACGCGGATTCGGTTCCCTTTCACAGAACCCATCTCGACGCAGAATAATTCAAGCATCGCTCATCACTCTACTCAGGAGCACTTCGCACGAACGACTCAAGACTTCCATAAAACACGATGTCGAACTCAAGCACCATGACGACACACTTAGAACCCTCGAGAAATCAGACACGCGCAGAGGGGATTTCCTAGTTTCGAATCCTCTGAAACGTCGAGGGGGGGAAGAACAGACTTCTGTTCCCGAGGAGGTGAGACATGAATTCAACACCGATTCCGCACGAGGGGGCTGATAATCTTACACGCACAGGGGCCCCGAACCGCTTTAAAAAATTAACAAATTTTTCAAAGTTTCAAACTAGGACACATTTGCCGAATTCTGTCACCACTCCGCGGATTCTGTCACTCCCTCGTCAAATTCCAAGTCACTTATTCAAATTTCAAAACACACCTGTCGCGTTCGCAACGAACGGAGACGAAAAACGAGAACGTGACTCGCAGAGGAAAATCACCGATTGGCTGATTCGTATACTGTATTGGGATTCGGAAAGGTTAAACGTTGCTGAAAGAGACGCAAGCTCAGCTATTTTCTTGAACAGACCTTCAGCTAAAACCGAAGATCGTCGGCCAAACTTTTCATACAGCATGTGCTACAGAACTGCCCATCCACATCGCAGATTTACACAGGTTCGTTCAAAATGTTACTTGGATCATGTAATTATCTAGTTGAAAGCTTACTGGATGGATGAAGACTAATTTTTATCAGGAATATTCGACGATTTCAACCGCCGTTCTGATTTTCATCTTATTACTTATTTAAGAGGTAAGTTTGATCTAAACCCCGCATGTTCAACGAACACTGCATGTATACCGTCAAGTTGCAATCAAATACTTCCAATATTGAAAAATAAAATTTCAATGACAATGGTCCAGCTCAAATTAGGTTCAATGAATCTGTTTATGATCTCGGAAACTCTCCACTGGCGACTCCAAACGTGAAGGCTGCTGCGAACCAAGAAAATCTTCAGCAAATAAACCGAAGGTTGCTTTCAGTTCCGTTTTCGATCCAAAATCTTTTAAACGACCCGGACCCAGATACATTTCAGGGCAATAACTGCATGCATGAACCATCTAATCGAAAGGAAGGCATTCTTTTGAAGGTTCTGGGTAGGACGAAGGATTTTCTCCCTAAAAAATGGAACATCGGCGTCAGGAACGACTGCTTTCCTATCGCCAAGATGCACTATCACATGAGTGCAAAGGAGAAGTTTCCGATGACGATCCAAGAGAAGCTACCCAAGGCCCGACTTCAGTAAATTGGAAAAATGAAACGCAATTCGAATTTCCCCGTGGATGCGCCGAATCATTTACCGAATTCTCATACACCAATCGTCTTCTCATCGGGGTTCATCTGTTACTCAAATTGGCAAAAAATTAATCTCTCATCAGATTTTAAGAAGACGTTTCTGAATTTCTGTTACTCTCCGCTTGAACGAAATATGAAACAGTATACGATCTAGCTTCCGAAATTACTCGAGTTTTTTTTTTTTTCGGAAGGATATAAATCCTGGCACTTCGACGATTGCAGTCAACTATCCCCACCATACACCGAACTTCTAACGCATCTCAGTACTAACTTGACCTAGCATAATAATGTAGTTTACTTGAGCCTTACTGAATTTAGCTAGATGCGTGCCCTAAATTCCCAATTAATCTTATCTATAAATTTAATTTACGACATACGTTAACAGATGATCGACTAAATGAACAACTACTGCGGGGTGAACTTTCCGAGTACAGTACATTTTCGTCTTTAGTATAGTTAGTACACAACTTATAATTTCAAGAGTACATCTGATTGAATTATTCCGCTTCCACAAATGGGCAGAAAATGTGAAAAAAGAAACTTCATGGACGGATCAGCGTTCTCACCGTTATTTGCTCCCTCTCTGGGAGCCGTTGGCGGCGACTCGTTACTTGATTCCTCCCGCTCCATCCTCCAGAAGAAAATTTAAATCACGTTTCTGATCACTTTTCAAGACTAGAAAATTTTCTTTTTGAACGAAAAAGAAGCGAGGCTCTCTGCAAGAACACAGAAGAAACGTTGAACTATCCGATTACACGCAAGAACACAACGTCGAAAATAAATAATCTCCAGCTTTTCCGATAAGGACAAGTAGAATTGCATTGAAACTCCACACGTGATAATAAAAAAATAATTTCTCAAGCACTGAAAAAAAAACACCCAAGACAAAATCCTCGTAGAAGGAAGATCCTTCCGCTTGCGAAGAATAGAAAAATAAAGTGAACCAAGCAGAAATAAGGCTGCCAATACGCAAGTGGTTCGTCGCACGAAATTCACAAGTCGCAGTATTCTCGATAAATCGCCGAAATCACAGCTTTTTGGCACCCAAACGAGCACCGAGACGAGGTTGGCGCTCGCTGTTAGACACTGGCTTCCGCGGAGTTTTCCTTGTCACCGGGGCTTCGTTTATACCTTTCCAAGTCCCATCATCTGTATCTGTGGATGACAAACGCATGCAGTGAAAACAGGCACAGAATTGTTCCACAGAGCATCAGAAAGTCATTTTTCAAAGTCGCACAAAGTGGTTTTGGGAGTTGCAAGCGCATTTAGATAAGACGAAAGGGTCGAATACCACGAACTTGATCAGTTTGTGGTCGGTGAACCAGAAAAAAACTCATTTGCAAAAATAAAATTCCAAATCCGATTGCTGAAATATTTAGTCACGTTCCTTCGTGGCAAATATTTCTCGTACGGAATAAATACCACGTTGTAAGAAACGAATAATCCTCAACATCTCGAACTGAAATTTTCTCGAAGTCACGGAAATCATCAGTCAGATTTTACACTAGCGGTTCGTGAACCACAAAAAGTTATTTGGCTTCACGAGACACTGCGGAATCCCTATGTCAAAAAGGACAAACTTGACTGCAATAACCTACTGAAAAATAAGAATCACAAACCTTCCCAGGAATCCCAAGAATCTCCCTTCGCGTTCGCATCCGGAAGCTTTTCTGCAACTATTGGAGCGAAGAAGTCGTCCCTTTCCACTTCAGTTTTGCTAGTGGTTTCGCCGGGCTGCTTTTCCCACTCATTATCCCAGCCCCAGTTCTGTCCGATGTTCTCGGAATTCGTGTCATTCACCAACTCTTCTTCACCTATTCCTTCCCATCCGTCTCCGTCTTCTTCGTTCCCACTAACAGGATTCTCTTCTTCCGCCTTGACGTTTTCCGATTTCGTTTCCGATTTCGCTTTCCTACGGGATCCTATGTGTTTGACGAGGTTGTTCGACAGAGCAGACATGGCCCAGCCCGCCCAACCCGAAGTACTGGCATCTTTTCCAACAGCCGCGTTCACGTCAACTTCCATGCCTTCCTTCAACGTTGGGTCATTGGAAACCTTTTCGAGTTTCTGCACAAAGCCGTTGAGAGCTTTGAAGACTTCCACTCGAACTGCCTTCTCGGGATCAATCGTCAAAGGTGCTAATGCAGGCAAGACACGACACGCAACTTCGGCCAAATAGAAATATCCCTGGCACGCAGAAAGCGCGAGAACTCCGGCTGAACGAGCCGGAGGAAACGGGTCTTTCAAAGATCTGCAAAATGCAGGGATCAGAACTTTCCTCCTCGTCTCCACGTCTAAATACTGGGCCATTTTGCCTAAACAGATTGTCGTGTTTGTCCGGATTCCGCCTTCTTCGTCACGCGTTTGTAATCGAGCCAAGTGTTTCAGAGTTTCCACATTCAGATTGTTGGGGTTGAGTTTGCTGGCAAGCGCAAGAAGCGCCTTAAGTGTATGTTCCCGGATTGTAGGATTCGTGTCTTGAAAACCGAGGACTAAGTTCGGGAATATCTCTGAATTCACGGCACTGGCGGTGAGGTGAGGAGCAAATTGATCCATATTTTGCAATAATCGTAAACGCGTCGCCCTGTCCTTGGATCCGAACAGCCGGACGACAAACGGAAGAACGACAGACGTGTAGTCCTTGGCTTCCAGTAACTGTGCATACTTGAAAATTGTTGTCAAAGCAGTTACACCGGCAGTACCGTATTCATGGGCGTTCATCATAGCGGGAAGTATCTTGAATCGACACAAATCGGTTGGAAAGTCATCCATGAGTTTCTGAACCTTGGTGAGAATGGATTGCGCATCCTCTTTCGACGCAGTCTGAAATGCACATAAGGATAAAGGTGGTAGACAAATTTTCTCCAATTACAAAGGGATTGTCGCATTTCAGTTTTTGGTCATTTCTGGAATCTCGGCATTTCTGACCCAGGGCAAATTAGATAGCCTTTTCGGTACTTTCCTGTTATCTCAGTACCTACTTTCCGTGCACCTACCAGAAACTGTGAATTTAATTTTTCCACATTCTGCTGAAACTGATTTTGGGAGGCGGTTAGGTAAAGGTAGGTTAGGTCAGGTTATGTTAGTTACAAATATCTTTCAATTAACATAACCTGACCTAACCTAACAAATACTGAATTCACGAGACAAAGAAAAATGGGTACTGAGATAACAGGAAAGTAACCGATTTTTCTTCTCGCTGTTCCCTTCGGAGGGATAAATTAGTAACCCAACCTGTACGGAAATTTTTCAGCTACACACGAAAAATGTGACCTACAACATTTAATTGAACAGAAATGCTTTTTATGCTTGATCGCAGGGAACAATTTCTAAGATGTATTCGATCTCATTCAATTGCAGCATAAGAATTCGAAGGGACTCTTTTGACAGTGAACATCTTCAACTTTCTATTCTCAAATCAGCTACTAATTAAAAATATTATCCTTAAGCAATTCTAGAAATATCCAAAGAATTAGTTTAGGAATTCAATTTTGCATTCGTGCTTCTATTGAACTGCGAAATCCTGACAAAAACTCAAGTAAAACAAAAATAGCCAAAATATGAAATTCATCTGGCATATCCACCTGCCCGTACCCAATGGGAAAGCAATGAAAAATGTATTGAATGGAAAAAGAGGGGAAATTTGGGTAGAAAGACTAATTTCTGAATATCCACTGTTTAAAAGCCAGGTCTCATTCTCCAGGAAGCTTTTAGACAATGTAACCCACGAAAAATAATTTCGTATGCAAACAACTCACGCCAAGATGTTCTATGTCGCGTAAGAGGCGAATTCTTTCATCGTCGAAAAACCCGCCGGGAGCCTTTAATCGATCCAAGGCATCACTGAGGGTAGATGCTTCGCTATTGAGACGCGAAACAATTGGAGCGAATAATTTCGGAAGTTTTCCTCGATAAATGTCCTTCACCAATTCGGCAAAACAGCGTCGATCGTCGCCAGACTTTGCTTCGAACCCAGAGAGTTTCCATTCTCCGCTTCGAGTCACGTACACCGAAGATGCTATCACATTACCATGGCCACTGCCCGCTTTCTCCAAGAAGCTCAGCCCACACTGTAGAACAGAGAAGATTGCAACTTTTCTACATGTAAATGCAGGGAAAACTCACCAGAAGTTGATGGATTCCCCATATGAGGTTGATATCACGTTTCTGTCCTGTTCCCGCGGACTCCAAAAAGATTTGAAGCGGCCTAACCCTCTCGGTTGCGATGTAGACGCACTTCTCGGACTCAGCGCTGTCAAAGTATTTCAAGATGTTCGGGTGGCGAAGTAGCTTCAATTTCTTGGCATTTGACTTCGCATCCTCGACTCTCGATTCTTCCGCAAGAACGAAGACAGTGCTCTCCTCCGTGAAGCCCTGAAAGAAACTTCATTCGTTACTTTTGAACGCCAACTAACAAGACCTGAATTTGAAATCGGGAAGATAAATTGGGTGGAACGCTGATCTCACTCTCTTTGAGCCCTCGTGCAGGCGCCAAATGGAACATGAGAGCGATTGAGTTTTATCAAACTCAAATTGGAAGTCTCGCAGGGGATCCCGCGCGAAGAACGACCACATTTCAATACTTCAACACCTGACCAAAAAATCTGAACACAACATGGCCTAGGAGGATTACGTCACTTCATGTGCTCTGCAATAAAATTAAATTCTTTCATTCAGGAAGCCAAAAATCAAAATGCAAGCAACTCGCATCGTCTCTGCAAGTTCACCACATGGAAAATGACGAGCTTCCTTCTCACGGAGCCCAATCGGGATTCAGATCATCGCTGTGCTCACGCTAGTCCCCGATACTCTAGCCATGTTCCCAACTTCCCACGCTTAACGTGCTAGCTGCTCCTCAACTATAGAGTTGATGATGACACCTTAGTGCGCATCCGGCAAGGAATACCTGTACCCCACGCAAAAGCGACATCTAGAAATGCAAATGACTACACGGTTTTCAGGATATGAAGCAGCAACTGTATTGTACAGTATACTTTACAGTCAAAGGAATAACAGCTCACAATTTTTAAACAAAATTGGATTCAAAATGTGGAAAAAGTAAGGAAACAACATTTTCTAGCTTACAATAATGCACGGTATTTGAAGTGATATTAATCATGCTAAGATTTAACGATGAACAAATGAACCCCAAATTCTTCTCAAGATGAAATTATATTAAAGACCACATGAAAGCTGGACATTTACCCTGGAACAGATATCCTTCATGAGAACACAATTACGTTGTACAGTACTGTACTAATTTCAACACTAACACGTTGTACCTCGATGCTCGAACGCCAGTTCATTTCTCTATTGCAGATGTCGCGTATCATGTCGAGGCGGGGGGGAGGGGGGCAGCCCAAGATCTTTCTAGGTCAAGAAGGACGTCTGCATGTACGCGCGTTTGCTCAGCACGAACTCACGAAAAATTGTGTATGAACAGCTTATACATAAACAGATGTCACTCCCTGCAGATTTTCAACTTTATACAACACGTACGCGTAGCAAAATGTGGCAAGCGGAAGAATTTTGAATTAAAATATGAACCATTGAATTCCGTCATTACTCGTTTGTTTATTTCATAAAAACCATGACATTGGACAAATGGAACGAAATCAATAATAAAACGCGATATGCAAAGCATGTCTGTTCCCTTCAATAAGCAGCCCATCGCAAGGCGAAGCAACAGCAAGCTTTTTTTTCTTCTCAGCCAACAGATAAAGAGAGAATTGATGATGTAAAACAGGCCACAAAATACCACAATTTTCCGAACAAATCGAAGTAAATCCAATCTGATACAAAATAGATCCGACTACAAATACCATATTCGCGCTGATCAAGCGCCCGTAAGTCAACTGAAAGACATCACAAAAACATTACGAGTCCAAGCGAAACCAAGATTTCTCGTAAATGACTTTTGTGCCTTGCTCGATTGATTCAACCGCAAAAACAAAAAAACATTTCTTGTCGATCAAACAATCAAAAAAATGCCTGAGAAATATTTCCCATCTTTTCCACTCATCTGCATTGTTGAAGGATTCCATCCTTCCAACGCTCCAATTGCTCATGGAATATCACTAAAAATTGTCAATCAATGCTTTCAATCGCTAAAAGCATAAAAAAATTAATCGTAGAAGGGTGCATATTTGCATACTATTCTTTCTCTGCTGTAGTTTTTTAAATATTTACGCAAACTTTCTGAAACAGTGCGTTTCTTGAAACTAGGATGCTTTTCTCCCATTACCTGCCGTGCGTTTTTCCTTTTGCTCGTCAATTTTACGCTTTAATAGCATAGGACTACAGTGTAATTGTCACCCGTACAGTATATATTCGCACACAATAAATACACAGTAGTGTTTTTTTTTTTTGTGTCATGGAGCAAGAATCAGTCTCCGTCTTTTCCCGTTTCTGAAGTGTTTTCACGTTCAACTTTTTTTTTCAGAATTTAAATCTTTGAATTTTCATCGATTCGCTACTGATGGAAAGTGAAAAGCTTCAGGTAATATTCCCGTTCAACAAAATTATTATTTAGTTTCTTCAAAGCATAAGCCGCTGCTCTCATAAAAACTTTCAAATAACAGCAACAACTTATGGTCCCTCAAGTGATCATACATCAGTGACTTCAAGCAAACCTGGAGTTAAGCATATCAGTCACAATTTTCTCTACAGCAATATACTTATTCAGCGCAAGCTTCTGTTTCTCACAGTGGGGCCCCGACATGCGGACGTAATTGCTGATGCTTGGGCCTTATCTCCTTAGGCCGGAGTGTCCGCATGACGGATTCATAGACTTCAATGGGAATTCATTCAATTGATTTCCAGTCATAAAAAAATAAGAATAGAAACTCACAAAAATTGAATAAAATTTTTCTCAACTTTACGATGCAGGAAATAACTGTTCAAAAGAAAATTACATAAAATCTTATTTTTTGACATCAAAAGGAACACAAGAAGCAAAGAACGAGAATAATTCTTTGCTATACTTTGCCCCGTTGATGGAAAAATCTCCAAAAACGAAGCATAAAATTAAACTACTGTATTTTGATTCTGAATTCGAGTAAAATTTATTGAAAAAAAAATCGTTTTTTATTTTTGTGAATATAAATTAGTACGATTCGTTCAAGAGACATTCATATGTTGAAAGAATGAAGATTTTCCCTGTTTCTAAAATTGTTGTACAAGTGTTCGTATCTCGAGACATTTTCCAGATTTCTGGGCAAATTATTTTTGCTTTACAAGTGCCCCCATCAGTCGAATCGTCCATATGTCGGGGTCCCACTGCGAACGTATTTTTTAATGAAAGCATCCGTTTAAATTTAGCGTGACAGAGATGGAATATTAACGATGAATATTCTCGCCTAACAGAAAAAAAATTGAAGCGTTGGAAGGTTGGGAATTACCAAACAAACAAAAAAATGCCAGACGCCAGCGGAACAAGAGTGAAATGATTCTACAAAAAAAAACTCTTTCTTCTCCGCCAAATAATCTTCATTGCTACTACAGTCGAACCTCGATAATTCGAATCTCCCTACGTCCATTTTTTTTCAAGTCCCTGCCTGAATTCCTTTAGAAACAATTCATTGAAAATCTCCGGAACTCGAATTTTCTGGGGGTTTTTTACCATTATTTTATTGACAAAAGAAAAGATAAAAAGGAATAAAAAATTTGACTCGATGAGTTTTGAAAAGAAGTGAAATATTAATTGGGCAAACGAATCCTTTCCTCATCCAAGTTCAGCATCTGGTCATCTTCATTGAAGAAGCAATTTAAGGCCCACAAAATCACCAGCAATTACAATTTCCTGAAATTTGTCTTTCTTTCCCTAAACGCAAATGCTTGTTTTCCCAACTTGAAACCTTCCTATAACTCGAATTATTTTATTATTATTTTTTCGCTGGTCTTGTGAAATTCGATTTAAAGAGGTTCGACTGTACACTACGGTCACTACTACAAAAATAACACCTAGCCCAACAACCACTACTACACACGCGCCACCACGTTGAGGATCTGACTCCCAGAGATGGCGTTGATGTTCGGGATGAGCAGCGGGCCGCCTCTGGACGCCCCAGACACTGTTTGTTGCCCTCGACCCAACCCGGGCACCGTGACCACCACCGACTCTTGCCCATTCACTTGACTATAGTCCGTTGTCTGCAATATCGTGACCGTGTTCCCGTCTCGTTGTCCGGCACCCGGTTTATTGCTGTTGCTGTTGTTGTTGTTATTGCTGCAGCCGGCGGAGATGTGATTCAAAGGTGATGATGGCACTACGTGAGCTGACGGAGAAGCAGCCGCCGGGAAGTCGGAGCAGGAGTCTTCGTCGCCCAATTCCTGCGACAAGAGGCTGACGGTGAGTGAGGCGTCTCGGCTGTGATGTGGCGCCGAGGGATGGGCGCCGTTCGGGTGGCGCGGTGACGTCTGCTGGGATGAAGATGATGGCGCCCCGTCGGTGGGCAAAGGGCGAGGAACCACGGAGCTGGACCTGGAGCGGTAACTTGGCGGGCGACTCACGTCACTCTCCCTGCCCAGAGTCAAACCCGGCCTGCGAAAGAAAAAAAAAAATTTTTGTCATGCAATTTTTTTGGGATTGTCCGGAAGTGGCAAAGGGTTGCGAGAGAAAAAAAAAAATTAGGAACATTTCAATTTAAAGATTCGCCATTGGCTTCAAGTTGCGCCTTTTTTAATTATTCCCAGAGATGATGCTGAGGGCAGTAACAATCTGCATTGTTATACTGGTATTGTAATTTCTGCAGTATATATACATTAGTTGATGCATCACCAGAGCATCTTCCTTTCTCATGCCCAGCATTCCACAGCTACAGAAATAAGCTTAGAAAAGACTCGGGACTACTGAAATTTAATGAAACAACTCTTTCCAAAATTTTAGAGGACCAAGATAACCTGTTAAACTTACATGATTTCACATCAAAGATTATCTCAAAATTGTTTAATCAACTGAACCTTATCTGGGAGCAAGCTGAACACCTTGTGCATTAATTTGGGTCTAGTAATTGCTTTATGCTGAAATTATTATTTTTTTATATTTTGTTATCAGGGAAGGTGTTGAGGGTCCTTAGACTCCTGACAATGAACAAGGTTTCAGTGAAAGAAGTAACACTGGCAATCGGCCGTTTGCGGCCTGAGGTTGATCTTCAACTTCGAAGTTTATTTTCCGAAGTATTTTGATGCACACAGAATACAAGCTTTTCTCGCAGGAGTGTTTGCGGTCACTTCAGGAACAGTTGTGTCAATCATGATGAGTTTGAATGTTGAGGTTCAGGTCCAGTGGAAATGAACCTGAAGGTCAATTTCTTGGAGCTGTGTTTGGTGTTTCATGAGAATCCTTTTGAGAAGGATTACTCATGATATTTTATAACAGTTTGAACTTATTCCATGAAGGTTTCATAACTTCATGGAATATTCTAATTTATGTAACTTTTCTTCTTGTTGGTTCTGGTTGCTTTGAAGCAATGTGGCGCGACCATGAGAGACATCTAATCACTCACAGCGCAAAGTTGTTTACTCAGGGCAACACCTAGTCAACCCATGACAGAAGGGAAGAAAGTGTATGTACAGTATTTACATTGGTTGTGCAATTGTACATTTTGGGATGCATTTTATTTGCTTTTAATATCAATGTACAACTTATTTCTGTTTTCTTTTGATTGAAAAGTATTAAAAACATACAAATTTGGACACAAATAAAATTCGAATTCCATCATGAATTCAATTTCCCACCTGAAATTTAAATTTATTATTCCGATTTTTGTTTCACATTTCAAAATATATTGTTATGAAAACTTAACCTTTTCCCCGTTTCTACAATTTTAAAATAAATGAATAAATTCGGATTTTTTGTTTCCCACGTGACCCGAGGGTCGTTCCTCAAGTCAATTTTTTTCGCTCAAGGGAAAATGGCGATCGTTAGGTAAGATGTTCGTTGTGCATGGCGTTCGTTGCTCAAGGCCCCCACAGCATCGGGTTTTTTCCTCCTAATTGCTCACCGAAGCGTGCTGGTATTGGAGCGGTACGTCGGCGGCGGGGACACCGCCGGTGGCGCCGAGTGGTGCCTGTCCAGCAAGAGGAGCCGCAAACGGTACTCCTGCATGGACGCCTGATAGGACGGAGGCGGCGGCCGGAACTGGAACTCGGGATACATCATTGCTGCGGAACGAGGGACGACAATTAAGGAACGTCTTTCAAGAAACCACTGGACTGAGACAAGACAAAATAAAAAAAGGTAACAGATAATTCCATGGCGATCCCCGACCGAGGCAATTTCCGCGACTACAGCACGTGGGTAATGAATAAATTTATCGATTAGAATTTCAATAAAATTCCCATTTTCTCTATTTTTCTCCGTCATCATCATCATCATGAAAAGCAATTGGCGAAATATCAGTGAATAAAGGCGCAGTTATTTTCAAGGATGCTTTTCATTTAATGGGGTGTCAGATTTCTTTGGCCAGCACTATTTTAAAACTGAAAATTGAACTTGAATCTGATTTAAAAACTCCTTATACTTATGTTTAGCTTAAGAGTACAAAAGTGAGGATCATATCATTCCTGTTGGAAAAGTTTGAGTATATTGAGATTTGTTGAGTGGGGTAAAATACAGTGAGACCCCCACATGCGGACACCTCAACCTGCGGACAATATGACATAACGACACTTATTTACCCATAATAATTAATAAAAAAAAGCCCAACATGAGGACACTAACTCAACATAGGGACATTTTGTGATAAAATTGCAAATACATTCCATGCCAAATTACAAAAAACAGATTTTTCCAACCCTAAAATTAATGTAAGAAAAGTTCTTGGGCCTTTCTCTTACCAATTTACCATCCATTTAGCTAATGTAAAATAATTACCTTCAACATACAGGGACTTCCTTCTCTCTTTTTCACTTGAATGTTATTTTCACAGAGAATGCCAATATTTCTATGTACTGTACAGTCAGTATTCAATTCCCCAAATGTTCCTATTGTGTTGAAATATATTGATTGAATCAGTTTAAATTGGGATACAATTTTTATTTTCATGAGATTATGGTGAGTATTTTGTACAAAAACACCAATTAAAAAGTATACTGTATAATGTAAGTCTAAGGGGAAATGAGACTCAACTTAGGGACATTTTGACTTAGGGACACCTTTGATGCACCAATTACATCCACATCTTGGGGTCTCACTGTACATTTACTCTTCCTCTATAAAAGGTAGCTAGAAGTATGTTGTTCTTGTTGAGAATTTAGATGAAGATAGAGTATCTTAGAATAAAACTCAATAATTTGGTCAGGCTGCAACTGGGGTGATTTCACCCTATTTTAACTTTGGTATAATTCAGTCTTAGCAAATTCACTACAATTTCAGTTTTTGCAACCCTTTTGAGTGATACACATGAGAGTCAAAAACAGAATGCCAAAAAAAATAAGGAAGAAGAAATCAGGAAAACTATCCTTCAAGGATCAAGGAAAGATTTTAGAATATGTCCTTTTAGTTTCTTGAATTTTAGTCATGATTCAAACCTTGGAGGTTCAAGAACAGGCATGAGAACTGGAGTTGAGCCCTGTTCTCACGAAGATGTGCAAGAACGAGTTTTGGGAGAAATGTCAATTCTTGTTCTTTAGAATTTAAGCGTGACGAAGTCAAGTTTTGCCATGTTAATTTGGAACAACTCTAACCGTTGAATCTTTTTAAAAGACAGGTGGAATAAAAAATGACTCCAACCACTTGAAAAAGCCGTCACTGTTCAAGAATTGATCAATATTTATCACCCTACAATAAATCAGCTGGTTTTATTCCGATACACTCATACAAGACGCACTTTTTGTTTTGTGCAAAATTCGGTCGACAAAATCGGAAGCCCATTATATTAGAGGTCATTTTGCGGAGTATTTCAAGTCGTACTTGATGACGTCTAATGGTTACAAATTATGTGAATTATCCCTCATAATGAATACGAATACATTATTCGGAATATAAATAACTTAAAATGCAACTGAAAAAATGCGAAGGCCGCAAGAGTTGGAATCATGATTACTTTTTGAAGATCAGTACCAGTATTTAATGATACTAATGTGTTAATTGAAGCATTAGTGGAATCAACGACTTTCCCGAGTTTTAATATATTTTCATTGCATCCTTGGGCGAATTTATAAACGAGATCCAGTCGTGATAAATTGGAAACTACATCAGAAAATACTGAAAATAAGAAAAGCTAAGACACGTGTAATGCATTTCACTTCGTTGTTCAACAGCCTTTTTTTTTTTCTAAGAGGGGCAACTTTCAAAATAAAAGCCACTCATTCTCCATATACGACGATTCAAAAGAGGAAAGCTAACCTTCAATTCAAAAAACAATATTTTACAGTAAGAAGTTTGATTCTTTCCCTTTCCCACTAGATGTGTAACGTGTATGTCATTTGACAGCAGCTCATTTCATGCATTTGAGCCTCAGAAAAAGTGGATTAACTCTCTTATCAACTGGGTCTAAGTCATCAAACGGATCGATTATTAGAAATATTGGCTGCGTTTTTTTCCGGAACAGGAAAGCCAATTTTTATTTTCATTTTTTTTCATCAAAACAGTTGTGTAAGAAGAAAAGTCCTCACATGCAGTTCTTAGCGATTTTTTCTGTCACTCGGGTAGAAAACAAAATTATCAAAAATGTTTTGAACATTTGCGTTGAGGCTTGCAGTTCTGTTATTTGCTCTGCTCTTTTTTCAACCAACGGCAGGTATAAAAAAAATATCTCTTCACCCCCAGATCAAACACTACCTAGAGAGTTATAATAAAACTCGCGTTTTCACGGTGACGTCAGATTCCTTGAATTGTCCGCCGTTTTCACAGAGATTTTGAGATGCGCAAAAGAAAAATTCTAGTTTTACGTGAAATTTTCCACAGACAAAAAAAAAAATTCAAGATGAACGGAAAGGGTAATCAGTCATGCAAAATATTTCATATTTGCTCCTCTCAGGGTTGCAGTCGATTCCAAAACCTTCTTCGAAAACGCTTGCATCAGTGGAAGGAACCAAAAGGCTCATACAAAACAAAATTCCAACGGATAAAGAACAGTTTCGCACACTTGGAACAGGGAAGACACCCCATTTAATGACTCGACATTCTCGACGGTACGGTATTTGGAAATGACTCCATCGTTGCCCGTGTGCCAAATCCTCATAATTACTATCCAATAAAAATTACTCGCGTGCTTAAGCTCCATGGGTTCAGTGAACCCTCATTTGCTTGGGTTGTTCCGCCTCAAGAGAGTCGAGACCTTTAGCACCTCGAAATATTTTCCTTTCTGAGTACAGTACAGTAAAGCATAGGACGATTTCCAAAAAAATGCGTAAAATGGCAATCATTTGGATCTTGAATTTCCCACTGTGTAAACACAACAGCAAAATTAAATGCTCACTTAAAGTATATTGGGGACAGATGTCGCCTCAATATAAGTTAAAATAAAGATGATAATGAGCCTTAACAGGGGCCGGAATTTCTTCTTAGAATTCCTGGGTCAAGAGTAAGATATATTTCACGAGTAATAATCAAATACTCAGCAAACTCTTGCATCAACTGAATAACTGCAATCATTCTGATGATTATATTATTTTCTACACTTGACTAGCTCAACAATTAAAATTTAAACTTCACAAGGCTTTATCAAGTACATATTTCCTCAAAAATATGCACCACCTAGTACAGTACTGTACTGTATTCCTAAAAATTTCTCAGTTATTTGTTCTATTTTAAAAATCGGCAACTGGGAGAAAGAAATAAAATCATCATCTTCTGAATGATGAGTCTCAGAAACTTTAACTGATACATGAACTTCTTTAAAACTGTGAATGACGAAGACCCAATTTTCGATTTCTGAGTTTACAGTATTTTATTTATAATAATCGGCATCTAGAAAAATTATACGAAATCATCTTCTGAACGATGAGTCTATAAAATTGCAATTTTCAACAGTTTAAAACTCTGAATGACGAAGACAAATTTTAGATTTTTCCATTAAAATAAAAAATGTTGGATTGGCGCTCGTGCCTGAAAACACTGTCCTGATGCCGAGGCAGCTTTGTTTCAGTCTCAAGTGTTCCCAAGTCGGATCGTCCGTATGTTGGGGTCCCCTTGTACTGCAATCGCCTTAATTACAGTAATCGAATACCACGGGCCCTCGGGCAATACGGACAACAGGGTTTTTCAGTTGGAAATTATGGGAATAATACCCGAGGAGAAAAGGCACGTCAATTTTTTGGCGACTCTTAAACTACATAATTTTCAAAAATACGAACACCCAAATTCGAATTCAGACATAATTTGAACATAAATTTGAAAACTTTTCAATTCGTTCCATATACATCAGTTTTTCTGCTAAACTTTGTTCCAAAAGTGTCCATTATAATCAGGTATAATGCTCGCCTACTTTCCTAAACCTTCTTTGAAATGTTATACCCAATTTATTATATTTATAATTATATTTATTTAATAATTAATAATATTCAATTATTAATAATACAACAGGCAAACCGCCCCCCCCCCATTTTTCTTACAAAACTTGAGAAAAACGGCGTGAGTGGTACTCGAGTAAATACGGGTATGTCCGCATCTCGAGGCTCCAATGAAAAAAAAACTTATATATCCCTGCCAAAAAAAAAAGAAAACGAGACTTACCAGCAGCCGCAGCAGCAGCGGCATTATACGCCGGCGACCCTGGCACGTGTGCCAGATGATGTGGGTGCATAGGCGGCCCGATCCTCGGGTATCCGGCGCCACTGGCTCCCGTGGCATTCGGCGCACATCCCGCGGCGCCCACCGGCGACCCCGGCAGTCGCGTCAGACCCAAAAACCGCCGCGGCTCGCACACGGCGTTGTTGGGGTCGTCGGCGACTATTCCACCAGCCGTGGCGGCGCCGGCGCACTGGCCCGCACCCGGGCCAGCTATGAGGTTCAGGCCAGTTGGACACGACGTCGTGGCCAGGAGACCGTTGGCCAGGTTGCTGCTGGTCGACCGAGACAGGCCGAGCATGAGGCGCCACGAGGGGGCGTCGTTGGCGGTCAGGCGCCACGCGATGGCGCTCACTGTCATCAACACGATCCCAACGCCTGTAGAACGATAGAAAAGGAACAGATCGAGTTTAAATCGAGACGGGAATGCACTTTTAAAATATTTAAAAAAAAATATAAAATACGGAAATCGAAGGAGTCTCCCCGGAACGAGGAATTGATAAAACGAGATCCGCCACGTCGACCACGATTTTTCAAAAAAAAAAATTTCATAAATAAAACGTGCCTCCCAAAAACAATGCCCATGTTTTAGGCTTCTTCTCGAGCATGATTTTTCAATCTTTTTTTCTAGATGGCGACACTACAAAGACATGGCAGTGTTTCCTTGCTACTTTCCAGATTTCACGACGCGCTTAACACATGCGACATGTGAACGCATGTTCCATCAATTACTGAAGAAAAAAAATTGAACGCAGCCAGTGGAGCAGATAAGCTTTTCAAAGAGCATGATGCATACCACGGGTGGTACTTGGGCATCGGTAAGTGGTACTCAAGTGCTGCCATTTTCTAACAGTGGTGTGAATCTACAAACGGTTAAAATTGATCCGTGGTCTCTAGGTCAGTGTGCTGGTCTCCGGGTCAGTGTGCGTATGCATGTATGTTACTTGGGTGTACAAGAAAAATGGCTCATCTAGGAACCACATGAGAGTTTTTGAAAGTTTTTCCTTCTGCTGCTCTTCAAAATTCAATCTTCTAACAAACACCACATATGTAACAGCTGGAATGATTAAGAAATCTGTAAAAACTAGAACAACTAGAACTGTAACAACTAGAACAACTGTAACAACTAGAACAACTAGAACAACTGTAACAACTAGAACAACTAGAACAACTGTAACAACCAGAACAACTGTAAAAACTAGAACAACTGTAACAACTAGAAAAACTGTAACAACTAGAACAACTGTAACAACTAGAACAACTGTAACAACTAGAAAAACTGTAACAACTAGAACAACTGTAACAACTAGAACAACTAGAAAAACTGTAACAACTAGAACAACTGTAACAACTGTAACAACCAGAACAACTGTAAAAACTAGAACAACTGTAACAACTAGAACAACTGTAACAACTAGAACAACTGTAACAACTAGAACAACTGTAACAACTAGAACAACTGTAACAACTAGAACAACTGTAAAAACTGTAACAACTAGAACAACTGTAACAACTGTAACAACTAGAACCAGTAGAAAAAGTGTACCAACTAGAACAACTGTAACAACTAGAACAAGTGTAACAAATAGAACAACTGTAACAACTAGAACAACTGTAACAACTAGAACACGGAGGACAACTAGAATATATAATACTGGCTGAAATCCATTTTCAAACATAGAAAACCACCAAACTGACAATCTGTGGTTACACAATTTCTGGATGATACAAATTACAATTGAAACTACCAGAACTGCAAGCAAATTTCTATTTCATATTCTTTTCTATGAATTACATTCCTGATGTCATCATGAAGTTCAGTTCAGGTTTCCAAAAAGTTTGCATTCAATGGAAATGGCCAGAACACAAAGCTTCGCGATAAAAATGATTACCAAGCACAATTACAGTATTTGTGAGTGAATTCGGAATCCCGTAGGTGATTCTTTCCGCATTCAGCATCTGCTTTCAAAAATTGGGGCGATGTAAAATTTAAAACTAATAATAATAAATACTGTGAGGCACATTGCAAGGACTGATTTTCACGTTTGATACTTTTTCACAACGGAATCATTTTTTTTTAAATAATAGAACAGCTGCAATGCATGCCACAGGCTGGCAAACATCGAGAGCCAATGGAGAATTTTTCATCAGCCGTTTCAATAATGATATGATCATTCACTAATAAGCAGTCCTTGTTCAAACGCCACGTTTGCTGCCCTGTTCTATGTCGAAATTCGAAAGTACATAAAAAGAATAACCTTCAGGTTCGACTCAATAACAAATTTCGACGCGAATCATTACGAATTTCGAAAAAAAAATATTCACTTCGAAAATCATCATCAGCCGGAACGAAAAAAAAAAAAGACACACGACGAAGGAAAATAAATTACGCATATATCATTTTTTCCCCGGCTTCCTTCTCCATCTCTCGCAATCATCGCCCAAGTATCATAAATCACCTCCCAATCAAGGTCGGTACGTTAACAAATCACACCCCCTCGACTTTCATAAGTTATATCGGCATTTCGGGCGAGGAAGTATAATGAGGAAAACCGAAAACAAAACAAAAAACATAATGGCGAACTTTCCACATATACACACGTATAAAAAAGTTACACTTGGGGGATATGGGATTAACGAGGGATTATTCAGCTCTCTTATTATTCTCACGCTTTTTCGCCGCAGGGGGGGGGGGGGTTAACTTTTTCAAAACTTCTTCAACCAGTTGGAGCCCGACCCGAGACGGCCCAAGTAAAGTGAGAAACACCTACACGTTCACAACAGCATCCACTTGAGGGGGGAATGAATGATGATGTGCCCAAAACAGGGCAGAAAAAAACATCAACTTTCTTATCTATAGGCGCCAGCGTTGAGTAATTTGTTATAGGGATACAAATTTGCCGAAGTGAAACAAGTTTTTTTTTTTTAAGAGTGTAGACGTGACGATAATTTTGACCGAGGCGAATTTTGAATAGGATTCGGAGATAATTTTAACCCGACTTCATGATCGTGTAAATCGTTTGAAAAATTAAATCCCCTTTCATTTTGCTGGATGCAGGAAGGTGAATAAAATATCCCAAGCTGAATCGATTTCTTCAAACCACTTAGCTTCCAAACCTGCAGATTATCAGTTTGTCGCAATGATGCATTAGATAAAGGATTTCTTAGTACTAGTCCGTGAAGTTTCTCAAGTGAAAATCCAACATCGTACTTGTAAATTGATACTGTAGTACAGTATGGAAAACACGTAGTTTGAGACAGTGACATTTTTCTTTCTCCCGGCCTAAGGTAGAAATTTCCGCTGACCTTACAAGCAAACTAATTCCATTGAAAATAATAATAAAATGTCAGCGGATTATTTTTAAGAAAACTTCTATATCGCAATTATCATTCAATTGATGTTGCAAATGGGGAAATAATTCAAGACTCATCGAAAATTCACGAAACTTTTGAAGGTATCGTCAGACACTTCAGTGCCCCAAGTATATATTTTTTGGATATCGCGTCTTATTTTTTTTTGGAAACTTTATAATACGGTGCCATTTTGAAAATATTAAAGCAAATATAAAAAACATGACCTTTGAAACGTTTCCCCCCGACTGATACTTGAATATTCAATTTCTAGGGGGGGGGGGGATATCAGTTGAAGTAAAAAATGCGTTCACTGACTGCTTACTTTCGTAGGAATGAATCGAAATTCGTGTACCAGTGATCGAATTTCCAATGAATCTCAGCCACGATAATTTGAGTTAAACTGTAATTCCCGTACAAGGAACGGTACTTGATCAATTTTCGAAGAAACGGGATCAATCATGGCATAAATAAAAAACAATTAAAAAATCCGTTGTCAACGTCGATGATAAAAAATTTAGAAAACCGTTCGAACAGTGTTTCTTCACCACCTCCGTGTTGCCCTGCGAAAGAGCAGCATGAACCCACACCTACACGGGGTTCGAGAAGTGACGCAACCCGAATCGGTTTGTCGGTGAATCGAGGCAACAACAAGAAAAAAAAGGAATGTAAAATAAAACATTAAAAAAAAGCTTATTCACTCCACATGAAACGCAGACGCAGACCAGCAAATAGATGTGATTTGAACAGCGAAGCAGAGTTCAAGACCTTCGCAACGCAGAGAAAACGCCCGAAAAACAAATCAGATTTCACATGGATCCGAGAGCACACATCCGTTCCTTTTTTTTTCTCCATCCAGAAAACACAATCGGGGCGAACGAAAGTAACCCAAGGTCGGGCAAACCGATAACCAACTTTTTTTTCCTCATTTTTTTTTATTTATTTTAACAATAACTCAATGGATCTTGAACATCATGTTTTTCCACTATGAAGCAACAATCGATATGAAGCTCTTGAACAAAGATAAAATTCGGATATGCGCTCATCACAAATAGAAAAGTAATAACAATTACTTGATGCGAAAATTTTCAGAATTAATCAGCTGGAAAAAAATCACGACGAAGAAAGGTACCCGGCCAACTACATAGCCTTACGGCGGAATTTTTTTTTTCTTGAAATTTCGGAAAGAGAAACTATTTCGTATACTTTTGCAAAAAATTGAACGCTTTGGATTCAAGATCATCATTGCTCGTAAAATTCCAGATGCAGTATTTATAAAATAACTCAAATTACTCCCGGTTTGATTAATTGAACATCTAACTATTAGCACATAGATTGACCACGCTGAACTTCTCTTTGCGACTTTTCTAAAAAAAATGCTCCGAGTTACAGTATTCATAAAATACGAAAATGTTTTCTGGAAATCTTCGTAATTGAGAAAATTATATTTTGCACGCGGAATGCCAATAAAAAGGATCAGCAACTTGGGCAAATGCAAATTTTACAGGACTAAAAGTCAATTTCCCGCGTCTGTGAGTTTCATTTTAAAACATTCAATTTTTGTAGAGATCTCAAGACATTTCAAAATTAATGCACTGGAAAAAAAGATCAGAAGAAACACCAGGACAAGTTTTTTTTTAAATGTAATATTCCCATTCGTCCAAGTGATCTCAAGGCAAAAATCCCAGAGAAATTTTAGTTTTTTCGGCTCAATTTCATCTAGTCCAGTTCAAAGAATTTTGAATTAATGCAACTTGGACTTCACCAAATCCGGTTGATTTTTTCTCGATTACATTTTTTCCTGGACTAAAAAAAAAGAAGCACACAATGAGTAGACTTCGAGGGAAAAAAATCGTCGAATTTTTAATTATCGCAGATCCTGGATCATGCTTGAATAAAGTACTGTTTCCAGATGTGGTTCCAAATTATTGTCAATACCTTCAAGTGAAGCTACATGAGTAGTACCTGCATTAATAACCCCGAATCATACCACCCAGGGTATAATTGATAAGACTCAAAGGAATCCTGATTTTAATTAACAAAGGAC